AGATACCTAACCAGGGGCCCCTCAGGTGACCAGGGGCCCCTCGTGTAGCCAGGGGGTCCCTTAGACAACCAGGAAGCTCTCAGACAGCCAGGGGCCCCTCAGATAACCAGGGGCCCTCAGGTAACTAGGGGCTCGTCAGATAACCAGGGGCTCCTCAGGTGACCAGGGCGGCCCTCAGGTAACCAGGGGCTGGCCCCTCAGGTAGCCAGGGGCTCTCAGGTAGTTAGGGGCGCTCTGTGTTCGTCACTGTGATAGATATCGCTCTTTGATATCAGTTTTTCTTCCGAGTAAAAGACGTTCTGTCTAGTACTGGAATTAAGGCAAGGAGACCCAGAACGCCTTCGTCACGCTGGTCCCCCTGAGTCATCCTTGGACCTCAGGGGCCCCCGTGGCCCCCCTTGGGTTGGGTACGTCACTGCACTCAAGTGACCCAAAGGGTTCACTTGCATGCGTGATCCCAAAGGGGGAGGCCATGGCCTCTTGGCCTCCCCCCTGGATACGCCACTGTAACTGCTCGCACTTTGTAGGTACACTCGGGGGCAGATTGATGTTCCACCACTCCCTACCCATCGGCCTCCCATGGTTCAGCACTGGCTGCTGCCAGTGGCAGCACTGGCAGCACTGGCACTGACAGGCAGTGCTGAGCAGTGCTGAGGGCAGGCAACACTGGCAGCAGCCAGTGCTGAGCCATGGGATCGCCCGATGGGTAGGGAGTGGTGACTGGTGGAACATCAATCTGACCCCGAGTGTACTAGCTACTTTCATCTACTAAATATTTAGCTTCACTAGCTATTTTGACGCAAGCGATTTTGTCATTAGCTGTTTTAACCCGCGCCCCGCTGGACTATTCAGCCATACGCGCCCTGCTTGGGGGGGGGGGGGGGCAGATTCTGCCCTCCTGTCTGACTTGTGTACCGATGGTCGTAGAAAGACGGGGAAAACGGCAATCGAAAGCTCTCAACAAGGTGGATCTTAAGAGCCAACTTTTTTGCTTAAGTATTTCAGAGGTCAGGTCAAGGTCAGGTCAAGGGTACAAAATGCAAGTTTCTACAGTATCGGCCTTGCACCGTAGTTGCCGAAGAATGGACTGAGACTGATTGCCCAAAACGTGTTCTTAGGCTACCAAGACAATATTCGTTGCAAACAATATCATGCAAAGGTCAAGGTCAAGATCAGGTCAGGTTACTAAAAACTAAATATAGAAAAGCGCATGTGCGACACATGTTTTATGGGTCATTTTATTCATATAATTCAATAGGCACACTCAAAAAGTGATATAGTGAGTGATATGGGTCATGGTCCAATAGCCCCCCCCCCCCTCCCCTAGGATCCGCCAGTGTCGCGACCTAAGCTATGTGCATGAATAGCTCATCTGTGATTATAGCAAATGCCAATATCGAAATGAGGACTTCAAAAACAAAAGGCAGCACAACATCCCTAGAAAGTTTTAGCAGTTACAATGTTCCCGACATTTGGGTCGCCAGCCTAGCCCCGGGAATGCCCAACCAATGAACTAGGACCTTCCAAACGTCACCATACAATCGGGTACTATTTAGTCAGAAAGGGGACGCTAGTAATTTCCAGGAGCCTCTAGCTCTATCAAGATCTGAACGGTGGGGGGGGGGGGGGGTTCACGGACTCTTCCTCTTTACGTTAACGGCCGGTAAAACACCTAAACTGGCGATAATTTAGCCATTTCTAACAGTAAAGGACGGTAACTAGCATTGAAAAAAACTACGGTAAATATGCCGTTAACATCAATAGCGGCCGAACACCTTCAATTAAGGAGGAGGGGGGGGGGGGGCACTGGCCACTGCCGACTTTTGGTCCCATTCTTTCCATGTGACGCCCATAGGGCTTATGTTAAAATTCCCAAATCAAGGGGGAGGGGGTGGGCATGGTGCCCTCCCCGTTCCGCCGCCTATAGTTTACATGCATATTTGTTGCTAGAGCTGAACCCCTGCACACAGTATTGCGTCGGGTGTGGACAACTACCGCCATATGCTGACGGCGATACAAGTTCGGTTACTGCGGGACAGCCTAACTTCAGGCGCTCGTCACCTGCGCCATCTATGGAGAAGTCTACGAAACAGAAGTACGCCTTACCTCAGTTATGCGTTAGAGCTGAATCTCTCTATGGTCTTATCCCAATTTCCCAGTGCTTTCCAGGATAGCTAATTTTCGGACCCGCGATAACGATGAAACGATAAGAAAGGTTTGCGATAACGATAAACGATAAACGATAAAATTTTCAAAAAAGTAACAACGATAGCGATAAAACTATAACGATGATTTTTTTTTTAACAGCAACCCGGTTTACATAGGGTTTGTTGCAAGCTTATATCTCCGTCCGTGATGTTGGAAAAGATGCCAATGGTGCTTAACAATATACAAAATGATCCCCTTTAAATATTTGTAGACCACTGCGTCGAAATTATCGCCAAATTAACGAGCTAGAGCCTCGTCAAATATGCTATGTAAACCGGGTTAGCGTTAACGAAACGATAAACGATGAAACGATAACGATAATTGTTTTTAACAGCAATAACGAAACGATAAATGATACAACGATAACGATGATTGTCTTGAACAGCGATAACAAAAGCGATAAGAAATACAGCTTAAATAATTGTACTTACAATTTATTTTCAGATCTATACAGTTTGCAGATGGCAACAGGTTGCGCACACATACTGTCGCGCGGCATGCACTGTCGATCGTCTTCCATTTTTCCATCGTCCCGTTTTAAGGCCTGGCTACACGATGCGTTTTTTGCGTGCGTTTTTTGCGAGTTTGCGTGTTTTGCGTAATATCGTTCTAGAAAAAGGTCATTATTAATTTAACTTCTTTAATATTTATATAAAAATTAAAAAAACGTTTATGTTAATTAAAAGTTTATATGAAAAACATATAACAAAAACGTAATGTCGTTTCTTTTTAGAGCGATATTCCGCAAATCACGCTAACTCGCAGAAAACGCACGCAGAAAACGCATAGTGTAGCCAGGCCTTTACATTTTATCGTTGATCGTTCATAATTTTTGTAACTTGCGTAAGTGGATGAGCGATAATTTTGAAAATTTAGCGATATACGATAACGATAACAGGTTTACTTAACAGCCATAATTATCGTTCATCGTTTATCGGTCATCCTATCGCATGCGGAAAGGACTGCAATTTCCTTACCGTTTTTGTATCATCTTCAACCAACTATTTGCTCTAGCCAATTGCTCTACGAGTTTTTCGAATGGAAGCAAATGCGATTTGAGTTTGCTTGTTTGTATTTGTTGTTGCGTGCTGATGTGTCACGAACTAAGGCCGCCACCACTAGGTCAGCTGGATCAGCTGGGCGACAGCTGATCGGCACACGCGGCGTGGCGCCGCAGTTTTTGAGACCGAGCTGGTTCCTTTTTTGTCGACATTTTTGTGGCCAAATTGACGGGCAAGATTTGGTGAGTGACTGTATTGCGCTGATGTCATGTTTAGTTACCCTCGTATGTCATGAAATGTCACTATCAGACTATCAGTCATGTATTCAGAAACGAATTATTCGACACCAGTAATATGTATTATGTATATGATCGGTAGCTTTCGGGGGCTGCTGCCTCCTTCATCAGCCTGCTTTTTAAATGCATTAGAACACAAGACAATACGTTTCAAACATGTCTACCAAAAAGTAAACCGCCACGAGGAAAAAGTTGTAACGGTACGTCTCAAGCATAGATGCACAACAGTTTGATACATGATAACAAATAATAACACATAATTAAGTCGCCATCGTCCGTAATATTTGTAATAAAACATTCGACATTAATCGTGATCCGTGGTTGTTACGACCACGGATCACGATTAATGTCGAATGTTTTATTACGGATATTACGGACGGTGGCGACTTAATTATGTGTTATTATTTGTTATCATGTATCAAACTGTTGTGCATCTATGCTTGAGACGTACCGTTACAACTTTTTCCTCGTGGCGGTTTACTTTTTGGTAGACATGTTTGAAACGTATTGTCTTGTGTTCTAATGCATTTAAAAAGCAGGCTGATGAAGGAGGCAGCAGCCCCCGAAAGCTACCGATCATATACATACTACTGGTGTCGAATAATTCGTTTCTGAATATTTACCATGTCCCAGTACAACAATTCCATATTCAAAATTATCAGTCATGTAGAAACTTACTTTCTATGTGTTTTGTGAAGGTCAGGCATTGGATCTGATGGATGCTTTCCCCCACCCAAACATGTCCGTGCATATATCAGATTTGGTAATTGCATGTTACTTTCACAGTAACCGATTGGCTGAGGATGTCAAGATAACTGGTCGATGAGCCACTGAACGATGACTTAGCTGAATACAAAGGAAGATTTTAAGCATAAATTTTGGTGATTCAATTACGGGCAAATCACAGTTAAATGGCCACATTTGTTTTTGTTTCGTTGGGTTAGCCCCTTCCGGTCTGACAAGGCCATTTCAGAGCCGGAAGGATGATAGGAATAAGGGGGAGACATTGGTCTGGGCAGGAACCCTAGAGAGTCACCGGGACTGAGCCTATCCCCAAGGTCAGGCCGATCAGCCCCCCCCCCCCCCCAAGTACTCGCTGCGCCCGGCCACAGGTGCGCTCCCTCGGGGGCAGCAGTGTCGCTCCAAGGGAGCAAGCATCCCGCATGAGATAAAGGTGCCTGGAAGCATGCTTTAACATGCTTCCAGGTTGAATTTAAATGAGGGCAGGCGGCCAACCACACGTATAGTGATTCATATCAACGATAAATATAACGCAAATAGTGAATAATCGTGAGCTCCCTACATTATTTTAGTGGTTTTCTGATGAAGAATCAGACGTCAATGACGTCAGACAGCCTGACAAATGACCACACATCTGACTGGAATCACAGGTCAGGTAGGCTAACTTTCAGCTATCCAGCACACGCGCATTCCGAGCAATCGGAAAACGGTTTCAAGAGGTGGCACAAACCCCGTACATACCTTGGACGGCGAGGGCTAAGGAGGGTGTCCAGAGTCGGAGTCGGAGTCACGGAGAATCCACCGACTCCGCGGCGCTGGGCGGAGTGTCGTGACACCGGTCTACACTGGAGGATTCCTGCAGCGTCGCTGGACCGAGCTGTCAGCCGGGGCCCACCATGTGCTTGATGGTGCTGCCATCTAGCGGCGGAATGAACAGGTCAGCTGTGACCAGAGGGCGCCTCGGTCGGGTTACAGCGCTGATATAGCGATCAGACAGGCAGGACAGAGTAGAGGGCATAGACGTAGGAACAGGGGGGGCCGGGGGGGGGGGGCATGCCCCCCCCCCCACTTTCGGAGGTGGGGGGGCCAGCAATGTTAACTGGCCCCCCCACTTTTTGCTGACTTAAATGTCTGTCTGTACCTACCACCCGGTACCCCAAACACCAGAACTTGACAACTATTCAGCTTGCCCTTTAATGAAGATTCTCTTTTGTTTCTACAGCGTTATTGACCGCAATTTCCTTCACTCAATGAAGGAAACCATATCAGAGACAAGACTGTGAGTCCTGGTGCCGCAGCATTTTGTTGATTACGAGGCGCGGGACAGCGAGCACTGAAAAGGTATACATAAGACAATACTAGCACGGTGCAGGAGAATGCGTAAACAAACGACCAACGCTTGACCAGATCTGCTTGGGGTCGGCATAGTTCGTCAAAGGCGTACTAGCTGGGGGCCAGGGTGATCGTGCCCCCGCCTCGGTTCAAGCAGGCTGGGGGCCAGCAACGTCTGTATCTGCCCCTCCCCCTTCCACTTTCAGTGCAGTGGCGGTCGCAGAGGGGGGATCAGGGCCATGCCCTTCCCCCTCCAAAGGCTAATCAGGGGGCCATCATATCATTTGCCCCCCCCCCCAAACAACCAATAGACCCCGGCCCTTATTCGATTGTCACGAGGCTCAAGAATCCCACGCCAGCTCTTAACAGCTCCCAAACCAGTCCTTAAGGGTCCTACACTGATTTTGGAGCACCCTTGAGTGGCGGTCAAGCGCCCACATTGACCACTGAGAACCCACATTGACCTCTGAGGGCCATCCACTGGCATTTGAGGGCCCCTAAACCGGCCTCAAGGGCCCAGCCGGCGTCTGAGGGCCTCAAACCGACCTCTAGAGTGGCCTCATTTCTGTCTCTGGGGTCCCAAGACTAACCTTTAGGTGCCTCTGAGTACCCCGCACTGAATTCCGAAGACCCGATGCCGGCCTCTAAGGGTCCGCATCGGCCTCTGAGGGTCCATCTTGGCCTTAGGGGTCCAACGCCGGCAAATGCCGGTCTGTTACGGCCCCGCACTGACCTCTAAGGGCCCATGCTGACCTGTAAGGACCCACATTAGCCTCTGATGGCCCAAGTCGGCATCTAAAGGTCTCAAACTGCTCTTTGCAGGCCCTGTACTGGTCTCTGAGGGCCTTAACCCTCGCCGGCCACGGGGGGGGGGGGGGGGGCGGGTGCCGCCCCTCCATAGTTTTTTTTTCGCGATAGCTCCGAACACGCCGGCGATAGAGAGCTGAAGTTTGGCATACCCGACCTTTGAATCAAGCCAGATCTTTTGACACCAACCGCATTTTCGGGTCAGATCAGGTCACGGACCAATGAGGTCATAAGTGAACCTCTGCACGGTCTTCAGGTGTCGCAACTTCGCAACGCCCTCACTGCCAGAGGAGATTTCACAGGGAAATGAACCTTGCAGGACCTAGTATCCATTAGGAGTCTCACAACTTGTACATCTCGGATTTTTCCTAAAGGTCATATGAGGTCAGGTCATTTTCGTGAGCTCACCAATTACGTATAAGTCAATGGGGATAAACTGAAAACTTCTTCTGGCGCCGGGAACGATCTCCAACTACCTCATGCACACCGAATCGTGATTTCATGCACTCCTTGCAAGGTTCGATGCGTCACTTTTGCAATGTTGACCTTGCGCGACGTCATTTATGATGTTAAAAGGGAAATATTAGTTTTTCGTCAATAACTACCGATCAAATTGAGCTAGCGAGTCGAAAAAGCCACCAATGGACTAAGGAAGACCTGCCGAATCAAATGATATGAGACATGACCTCATTCGACCAATTTCGTGACCTGGGGGCGCTGACCTGACCGTGACCCGAGGTCAACACCCTAAGTTTACCTCACCCAAACAAAAAGTATATCATTCGACGCGCCTGAGAGAGGCGAACACGATGCTGGCAAAATCGCGCCTCTGCGGCCGTTTTTTTGCGAAGTTATTCACCAAAACGGAACCGTGTCTGGAGGCACTTAACCTGACCTCAGAGGTCACCGGTTGACCTAGGACCTTAAAATCGGGTATCGATCTCTGCGTCTCGTAACGGCGCACACGCTCGTGTTTTCCGCGACCCGCTAGCTCCACCTGGGGCGAAACGGCGAGGGGGGTCGTACCCGCCCCCCGCCCCCTCGGCCGGCGCGTATGTAGAAAACCTATAGGTCCGGGCCGGCGAGGGTTAAACTGGCCTCTGAGGGCCCAGACCGGCCTCTAAAAGTCCCACACCGGCCTCTGACAGTCAATCAGCCCAGTTGCAGTGGTCGCTGATACAAAACCTCTTAAAAACGTTACAGGCCTGGCTGAACCTAGCTGGGCCCTTCATGCTGATTTTTATAGGTATATTGAAAAGACTCGCTTTGAACGTTTCACGCTTGCCCGTAATGAAAAAGTTGCTGGATGCCTCTGGAATTTGCATGGGTGCCAACGGCTGCGGCGGACAGGGGAACGCGTCCATCAGTTTGAGTTTATGGACGGGAGTCTCCCTGAAATTTAACCAATTTTGTTTATGTTTTTGTCTTGATTTTTTTTTTTAACCTCTGAGCATGTTTGCGAAAACAAAGTGGCCGAAATCCGAGGAGAAATTGGATTTTGGGGGTAGGTTAGGTTTTAGACCTCTGGGAGCCTGGCCCCCCCCCCCCCCCCCCACTTTCGAAAACGTTCCTACGCCTATGGTAGAGGGAACATCTGACATCAGGAATACGATTGATCAATGACTGTAAAACAGTACACCCAGGTGAATATATACGGCCGAGCATGACAAATGGCTCCAGATCAGAATAGGTCTCGATACAACATTACGGAAGAAAATGGCACTTGTGACTTCCACAGCGATAATCAAACCTCCGCTTCTATCCCCAACTCCTTACCTTTGCTAGCTTGGCCTTGTGGCGGGATCACCGTCTGGCAGGGCAGCGGCTGAAGGCCCCTCTCCGACTCTACCCGGCGCCACACCAGCACTCCACCACTGTGACGGAAGGCAGCACGGTTGGAGCGGTAGCACGCGGTTGGAAAGGCAACACAGAGGGCTGAACGGACGGGCGCCTTGCTGAGGTCGTCCAGACGGTAGCGCGTGCTGTAGTAGCGTCACTGAGACTTGTATCATCAGAGGTAATATCAGAGGTGGTACATTACCTCCACAAAATTGAATGTCCAAAACTGACAAAAAATGAGGCTGAATTACTAGATAAAGATATAACAGTCGAAGAATTAGGGGAAACGCTGAAAAAAAACTTGAAAATAATAGAAGTCCTGGCTCTGATGGATTTCCGTATGAATTTTACAAAGTATTTTGGGGAGAAATAAAGTACTTTGTTTACAAATCGCTAAGATATGGATTATCTAAAGGATCTCTTTCAGTCAGTCAACGGGAAGGCCTAACTACTTTAGTTCCAAAACCATCAAAACCACGAAATTTAATTAGCAGTTGGCGTCCGATTACGCTCCTAAACTCAACGTACAAGATTCTCTCCGCAACCATAGCAGACCGCCTCAAACAAGTTCTAAATTCTATTATTCATGAGGATCAAGTGGCGTTCTTAAAGAAACGATGTATTGGTGAGAACACCCGAGTTGTATATGATGTATTATGGGAAAGCCAGAAAAACAATCAGGATGGCATGCTTTTGTCTGTAGACTTCAAGTCCGCTTTTGACGTAATGAGCTGGAAGTTCTTGGAATTATGTTTGTTAAAGTTTAACTTTAGTTCTACTTTTATCAAAATTTTCCAATGTCTGCACAAAGATAACATATCGCGCATAACTTACAATGGACACGCTTCAACGCGGCAGATAAATCTTGAAAGAGGTTGTCGACAGGGTGACCCAGTGTCATGCTACTTTTTTATCATAGGCGCTGAGATACTTGCAAATATAATAAGACATAGCAATATGATCAGAGGAATGAAAATACGTAATACAACAGTAAAAATAATTCAATATGCAGACAACACAACATTTTTCCTTGATGGATCTGAAGAAAGTTTGAGGAACGTTTTCAACGAGCTGGGCTGGTTCGCCAAATTCTCAGGTTTAAAGCCAAATGTAACAAAATGTCACGCAATGTGGATTGGAAAAAAGGCACTTAAAGAAAACATTATTTGCCCTGATATTGAATTACGATGGGTAACAAAACTGAGGTTACTCGGTATTGTTTTTAACCCGTTGTGCTCAAATATCACGGAAGAAAATATACAGCTAAAAAAGACGCGATGTTAAGAATAATCAGAACATGGCAAAGCCGCAACCTAACACTGGTTGGAAAAATTGTCATAGCTAAATCTCTTTTGCTATCACAAATAACTCATATTCTTGCCTCCCTACCAAATCCTTGTCAAAAAACAATGAAGGAAATAAATAACATCTTATTAAACTTTGTGTGGGGCTCGCAAAGAAATCCGATAAAAAGAGCACGCCTTTGTCAAACAGTAACCGAAAACGGTCTTGGAATGATAGACATTGAATCGTTTGTGAATTCACTGAAAATCAAGTGGATAAAAAGGCACATTGCTGGAAACAAAGCTACGTGGCATGCGCTTGTACCAAATAAAATAAATGACGATTTTATTTGGAATTACGGTGTCGTGGCACTGAAAAAAAACTTGAATATATCTTAAATCCTTTCTGGAAGGATGTTATAAACGCATGGATATTTTTTTCTATGAGGTTCTGCTCAGAAGACAGTCTTCTTTGCTACGAAAATATTTTCAACTCAGACCTAACAAAATTTAAAAAGAAGAGGTATGCAGGATGGGAAAGAAAGGGCGTTAAATTTATTGGGGATTTGTACGAAAATAATAGGCTGATGACATGGCACCAATTTAAAGAAAAGTTTAATATAAACTGTGTCCCATTAGAGTACCAAGGACTCTTGCATAGTTTGCCTGCCCTCTTGAAAAAACAACAGTCACCAGGATGGTACATGCAACCAGCGCTTCCAGCACGTGTTCAGTGCCTATTAACTAATAAAACATTTACGAGATATTTCACAAAAATTGCTGGAAGTGACACCAGAGCACACGAAGACATCGCGAGAATAGAAAGGAAATGGATTTCTGATGTTGGCAATTTTGAAAAGCTATCAGTTTATAATATCGAAAAAGGTGTAAACGCGAGCAAATATAGGTATATCATTCCATTTTAAACTGATTATGCGTATCCTGAAAACTAATGTTTTCTTAAGTATGATTAATGTTCAGGAAAATAACAAATGCACCTTTTGTGAGTCGGAACCAGAGACATTGAAACATTTATTCGTAATGTGTCCAGTACTGGACAGGTTTTGGGATGAGGTTTCCAATTTTATGTCGAGCAACAGGTTAGGTCACCTTTCAAATAAAACTAAACTATTTGGGCACAATGAAATACCAATGATAGCACACTGCGTGACGGTGGCGAAATATGTGATATAAGAGGTAAGACGTGCACAGAAGTTGCCTTATTTCATTCATTTCAAGACATGCCTTTCAAGAGATTTTATTTCCGAAGAATATATAGCACGTAAAAATGGACAAACTGAGAAGTTCAGGGAAAAATGGAAATCCTTGGACACACGCTTACGCACAGATAACGAAAGAAGAATTACAGCATAGATTAATATTGTATACCCTTTTGTTCTGCGAACGAGGGGATTGCACTTAGGGTGTGTCACTAGAAACAGATCAAGCGCTTCCGCTGATTTTCCTTGTCCCTGTGTCTATGGAAGCCCATTGGTGCAGTTCTTTTTTCCATGCATCGAAAATTCGATCGGCGCCGGCTGAAAGAAGTTCAGGATTTATCGTGGCGCCCGGCGTTGCAGTCTCCATGTTTGGCGTAATGCATTTGATGACACTAACACCAGCCGCGCGCGTCTTCGCCTGTTAGCGTCGACAGACGTTGTCAATACGGATGTAAGCAATGCAAACGAGGCAGTATCCTCTATTTAGACAACGGTTACACAGAAAAGATGCATCTTTGCCATTCAATAGCAAACTGAATTCAACTAAATTAGCATTTGCCTACCTTGCATGGTTCAGGGGACCGATTTTCTTGCAGGCCTCCTCCGCCACCGGGGCACCGTGCCCCCCTTTGATTTGGGCATTTTAACATTAGCCCTATGGGCGTTGCATGGAAAGAATGGGACCAAAAGTCGGCAGTGCCCCCCCCCCCTCCTTAATTGAAGGTGTTCCGCCGCTACTGTTTGCGGAGACGTTGCCCGTCCGCACGGCTCTGGTGAGCTGATACGGCAGGAGTTGGTCGCTGCTGAGGTCGGCGATAATGTTGTCCGGCAGATCCAGCTCTGGGCCGCTCACCGGTCGGAACTTCACGGGAGAAAGACGGTGCACGGAGCAGCCGGCTGCCTTGCCCAACGGCCCAGTGAATGATCCGGGTCCACTGGTTTTGCCGTCCAAGTTCTGGAACACTTCCCTGAGTACAAGCTCATTCCAGTGCAGCTGTCAAACAAACCAATGGACTGTTTTCTCTTGAATAAGCTCCAAAAGTCGGCATATTCCACCAGATCTGCCCGCATTGACAGCCGCGACATCGCAGCCATTAGCCAGAGTGGCAACGTTTATCAGCTCATTGGCTTGATCAATGGCTTTACCCGAAATTGGCGTAAAGTTGGAGAGATATTCGTTTCCTGGTTCTGCTACATTAGCCAAATGTTCCTCAGTTGCCCTGTAGCCGCCTCGGCCCGTGCTAGTTTGATCATGCCTTCCATCAAAGTAAATGGCCTTGAGCTCAGCGTCGCTGTGTTTTTGGTCCCACGCGGCCACTGTACTTTGTCTCATCCGGCATCTTTCTCTCCATACTTTTTCGGGTCGACCAGCAATTCTGTTTTGCCGCTCGCTACGCGACCGATATCCATCTGAAAACCGTTGATGACGGCCGCTACAGCACGGTTGGATAAACCATACCTGTTAGTCAGCTGCCAGTGCAGTGTTTGTCATATCATCATCGTTTGAGTCTTCGATGCATTCCTTCATCTCTAATTCACTTGTGACGTCTTCATTGCTGTCGTTGGTGTCGGTCGTTGCTTGCCGATGAGTCTTCCTGGCCTGTCTCGTCGATATTGACGCCGTTGGAATAGGTACGGAGGTGGGAAGGACCAGCTTGACCCACGTCGCCCCTCCACTCGTTCCGCTCCCTTCTTATTCTAAGGCTCGCAGTCTTACGTCGTTTCCTCGTTTCCTCGTAGTCCACACCACCCAGTCTCATCTTCCGAACTCCTCTCTGGTCTCGAAGGAATGCTACTTCCGCTGGCGGTACCCGGTTTGAAAGTGGACAGGTACAGCTTCGCCGATCTTTACAGCGGCAGCGGGCGACATCAAAAAGCTTACGAAGCAGACTTGCTTCAGAAAGGCTTTGTTTCGTGTGTCCCTCCCGCATTGTTTTGGGCACCTTGTTCGATCGGCGAAATCTTTAGTAGACTTGCTTTACCTTCCGAACCACATTGTGCATTTGTATCGTTGGTATGCCCTCACTCGACCACATTGCAACCACCGCTTCCGCTGCTTCACGTAAACATGCAGTGACTGTCCGCTCACTTTTTCTATCCCCTGCCAAGAGTCTCACATAGTTCACTACATCTCTGTTTGTAGGCAGCTGATTTACCGGCAGCACACTGGGAGACCCGATAACAAAATGTTTCGCTTTGCTTCGCAACGGCATCACTGCGGCAAGGATAGTCCGATTCGATTGCGCCACACGCACTTCTGCTCACGCCGCAGCTGAAACCAGACTGACCCACGTTCTTCGCAAGCTCGTGTACCTCGGGGAGACAGCACATGACTCGAAAGCCGACACATTGTGTTGCCGACGGAGGGGTGATACCCGAGACCCCGCTCACGTTGCCCTCTGTCCATCCGTGCTCTCATTCTCCCTGCCCCACTCGTGATAGTCTTGCCAAGGCTGCAGCGTGATCCTATTATATGAATCATCTGTGGGTCCCTGAATGGCCTCAACACATTAACCCTAGAACGCCTAGGGG